TATTTCTCTGGGGTATATACCTACAAAGGGAATTGCTGTATGTACGTGTTTAAGTTTTTAAAGATAATGCCAAACTCTTTTCCAACTTCCACAGCAATGTGTAAGAGTTCTTATTGTTCTACATCTTTGCTAAAACTTAATCATTCAAGACTTACTTTTTGCCAGTTTTTTGGGCATAAACTTTCTATCTTTTAATTTGCATTTATCTAAATACACATGAGTCTACGTTTGTTCTTCGAAATGAATTTAAGAATAAGCTTGTTGAGTAAGATTTTAAAAAAACCTTATTAGGATTTTGCTTGGAATTGCATGATATTAACAGATCAATTAGGGGAGAATTATCAAGTTCAGAACTGTGAGGGGTTTGAGATTTTACTCTACTGGCAAATTCATGTCAGTCCGATAGTTTCAGGGATCCTGGCAGAAGATGCCAGACTCTTGAATCAGACACAAGGGACTTTGTTACCCACAGCAATGGCAGTAGCCAGAGTATCAGCATTTTCCTGAAATGCTGATCCTGAAGATTCTGAAGCTGTAATTCCCACAGGATATGTGAAGAGGGTGGGTGACACCTGTGTCTGTACTGGGCTGTGTTACAGGAGAGGAACACTGAGCATAGGAAACAAGTGTTTTATATGGAACAGCGAGTATGTTTACCCTCTGCTCTAGAGGGAGTCACTATCCCTGTCTTTGAAGGCTATTCACCATAAGAGTATCTTTGAAAAGGTAATCCAGGGCAAAGGCAGCAAGTCAGTGAGCAACCTCTGCTTGAAAGACATACAGAAATGCAAGAGGCCTATGGAGACGTCTCTCTCAACATGACATCTGTAGAATACTAAGACTTCCTTTCCGTGAAGATGTTTGCTGTCTACATTTTTTTCTGTCTTTTAATATAGTTTTGTAATTGACTCATAAAGGAATGCCACTTTGTGTTGCTTTTGTAAAAAGTATTTTTTGAAATTACATTTTTCTACTTCATGATTGGTATATAGAAATGTAAATGAGTATCATATTTGAACATTACATCCAAGTAACTTTTAAATCTTCTTAATTCTATTTTCTAGATTCTTTTGAGGTTTTGCTCATCTCTGCCTGTTTTGTCTATATTCTTGTCAGTTGTACATGATTCAGTTTGTCTTTTCCATTATGGTCCCTACCCTTTTATTTTGATAGCTCTGTGCTGGCTTAGCTCTCTGATTAGCATGTTAAATAGAAGTTACAATAATAGTAAACAGTCTTTAATAGAAGGTCTCACTCTACTGCCCAAGCTGGAGTGCAATGGTGTGATCATAGCTCGATGTAGCCATGAATTCCTGGGTCCAGGCAATCCTGTGCTTCAGTCTCCTGAGTACCTAAGACAAGAAGTGCCATGCCCAGCCACTTTAAAAATTTTTAGGGACAGGTCTCACTATGCTGCCCAGGCTGGTCTTGAACTCCTGGTATCAAGTGGTCCTCCCACCTTAGCCTCTCAAAATGTTGAGGTTACATGTGTGAACCACTGTGCCTGGACTTTTTACAATTTTATACTGTTTGGTTTTTGATTTTTCTGTTCATTTTGGTAGTTTCTTTTTTCTTATACATGTCAAACAACTTTTTAATACAACATGTTTATTTTGTAGTAGTATGTGTCTGAAAATGCAATATTGAAGTCTTTGAGGATGTGGATCTATTTGTTGTTTCTACTGATTTGCACTACTAATCCTGGGTTATGTCCTTTTTTTTTTCCTGTGATTTTAGATTGTGGGTTCATAGTTGCTGGTATTCTATCTCTAAGGTTTCTTTGGAAGCTTGCATTGAGGGTACCTTTCTCCAGGGATGATTTTTGTTTGCTTTTGTCAGACACTGAGCACCACTGACATGAATCCTCTTAAAAATACAATTATCAGCAACATAAACTCTGCAAACAGCGTAGATTCTGCTACTAATGTCATCTGGTGTGTGTGTGTGTGTGTGTGTGTGTGTGTGTGTGTGTGTGTGTATGTGCGTTTGAGACAGGGTCTTGCTCTGTCACCCACACTGGAGTGCAGTGGTGTAATCACGGCTTACAGCAGCCTTGACTTCCCAGGCTCAAGTGATCCTCCCACTTCAGTCTCCCAAGTAGCTGGGACCACAGGCATGTACCACCACGGCTGGCTTTTTTTTTTTTTTAGTTTTTTGAGATGTTATAGAGAGGGAGTTTTCCCATGTTGGCCACGCTGTTGTTAAACTCCTGGGCTCAAGCAATCCTCTTGCCTCGGCTTCCCAAAATGCTGGGATTACAGTCATGGGCCACCACACTTGGTTTAAACCCATTTGAATGTTGTTAGCCAGTAGATGTTAATTTGCAGGGGAGCCCTTAAAAAGAAAAATCCATGAATAGCCCAGGCTGAGAATGGTTACTTTGCCCACTATCTGCCTCTTCAATTTTTTGATTTATTGTAATTCACCATTTTTTGTGGGGCGGGGGGAAATGGAGACTTGCTCTGTTGCCAGGCTGGAGTGCAGTGGCGGAACTCGGCTCACAGCAACCTCCGCCTCCTGGGTTCAAGTGATTCTCCTGCCTCAGCTTCCTGAGTATCTGGAACTATAGGCGCACACAACCATGCCCAGCTAATTTTTATATTTTCAGTAGAGATGGGGTTTCACCATGTTGGCCAGGATGGTCTCAATCTCCTGACCTCATGATCTGCCCACCTCGGCCTCCCAAAGTGCTGGGATTACAGGCGTGAGCCACTGTGCCTGGCCAGTTCACTGTTTTGAAAAGGCTAGAGCCTTTCGGGGATCCAGGCTTTCTGTGAGGTAGACTCTGATCTGACTCTCAATTCTTCACTGGCCCTAAATTTTCCACAAGTTCTCCAGGCTATCATGATCAATATAGTCCCATATTCTGGTTGTTTCCAGGCTTGTCTCTACAGCGATAAAAGTTTAGCACATGCATCAGAGTGAACTGGAGGATTTGCACAGAGATCTGGGGGCCTTACTCACTGAGTTTCTGATTTAGTAGGTATCATGTGGGGACCAAGAATTTGTAAGTGTAAGTTCCCAGGCTATGCTGATGTGATTGATCTGGGGTCTGCACTTGAGAAACACCTCTCTGGACCAGGTTGGTTGGCAAATTTTCTCTGTGAAATGCCAGAGAGTAAATCTTTCTGACTTTGTAGATCACATGGCCTTTGTGGCAATCACTCAACTCTACTGTTGCAGCATATCAGCCACAGAGAATGTAACAACAAATGGGTATGATTGTGTCCCAAGAAAACTTTAGTACAAAAATATGTGTCTGGCTATGCTTGACCCAGGGGCCACTCTTTGCTGATCACTATTCTAAACTCCTGTTCACCCTTCGTCCCCAGCCACGGGAGTTTCTTTTGCTTTCTTGCAGGTATTTTGGTCACTTAAAAAGGTTTTCAGAAATATTTAAATGAACATTTTTAGATGTTATGTAGCAGAAAATCTTCCAGGATGTCCTTTCCACAATATTATTATAAGTAGACATCCTGCATTTTACATTTTTACTTGTTTGAATAATTTAAGGCAAGGCTTTTCTAGATCTGATTTTTCCTACAAATCTGATCTCTTCAGTAGGCCATAAAACATTTATGATTTGCCCTTGTTTTCTTCCTGGAACCTTTTCCACCTGCTGCCTCAGTATAACACCCCTTCCTATTAAACTCAGTTACCTCAAGGGCCCTGCTCTTTCCATGCTATCTCATTCCCTCAAGCCTTTCCACATGTTTTTCCATTTTCCAGGTTGCCTTCTATTCCCTCCCCCAAGCAAGTCTGGTAAATTCCCACTATTTCTCTAGCCTTCAGGGAAAGCTCCTCCTCTGTGAAGCTCTGCCTTCGCAAAGTTGCTGCTTGGTCCTAGGTGCACTCCCCATAATTTTGCCCATAATCATATCTATTGTACTCCACTGTTATTACTAGTGCCCCAGAATGTCCCCTTGTTAGGCTGAGAGCAAATTGAGAGTGGGAATGGGTTTCATTTATCTTTAAATATCCAGTGCCTATATTTGTCAGTCAATAAATGTTTTATACTTTGGAGAAATGGAATATGTGGCTATATAAATGATGACTATTTAGGAAATGGGATTTTAAACAACTCACTTGATATGGTTTGGCTGTGTCCCCATCCAAATCTCATCTTGAATTGTGGTTCCCATAATCCCCATGTGTCATGGGAAAGACCCAGTGGGAGGTAATTAAATCATGCAGGTGGTTCTTGCATGCCATTCTTGTGACGGTGAACAAGTTCTCAGGAGATCTCATGGTTTTATAAGGAGCTTCTCCCTTCACTTGGTTCTCATTCTTTGCTCTCCTGCCGCCTTGTGAAGAAGAACTTGTTTATTTCCCCTTCTGCCACAATTTTTTTTTTTTTTTTGGAGACATGGTCTCGCTCTGTTGCCCAGGCAGGAGTGCAGTGACAGAATCCAGTGCAGTGACAGAATCCAGCTCACTGCAACCTCCACCTCCCAGGTTCAAGCGATTCTCATGTCTCAGCCTCAGCCTCCCATGTAGCTGGGATTACAGGTGCCTGCCACTACGCCCGGCTAATTTTTGAATGTTTAGTAGAGATGGGTTTTTGCCATCTTGCCCAGGCTGGTCTTGAACTCCTGAGTGAGGTGATCCACCTGCCTCAGCCTCCCAAAGTGCTGGGACTACAGGCGTGAGCCACCATGCCTGGCTCCTCCATGATTTTTAAGTTTCCTGAGGGTTCCCCAGCCCTGCTGAACTGTGAGTCAATTAAACCTCTTTCCCAGTCTCAGGTATGTCCTTATAGCAGTGTGACAACACACTAATACACGCTTATTTAAATCCTTGAGGTTTTAATCTTCTCTCTGTAGTCACCAGCCCAATTAGAAACTCCTAAAGTCAAGTCTCGTTTATTATTCTGGGTTAGTCAAACCTACAAAATTCTGTAATGAAACACATAAAAACACAGACCACTGCATGCATCATATCCCACCAGTGTTAGGGAGGTCATTTACTGTCTCCAAAATAAAGCAAAAGACACAGTGTTTTGTTTCTCTTTTATTGCAACCCATTGCAAGGTCAAAGATTCACAGAAATATAGAAACTACAAACCGGGTGAATTTTCTTTATTCACTCAAAAGGACATTAAAGACAAAGGACCAGAATTTTCCATTACAGCAATATATTTCATAGTCTTTATTCTGAAAATACTGTTGACATTTTGGAGAGAATAAAAAGCCCTGCATTAAACGTGTTCACATGTATTTACGACATTCTAAGCAAAAAAAAGAAACTCTATATTGCCCAGAAAAATTATTTTAAGCCTCATTTCAAAGCATCTAATGAGAACACATTCAACAACCATCACAGGATCACTCAAGGTGATGCTTTTTTTCTGGCTGTTTTTTTTAGATTAATGCTTTGAGGCTGGATATGGTATTTCTACAGATTTCTACAAATGTACCAAAGCAGTTTTCCAGATTATGTTGCATCAGGCTTTCTGGATAGGTCAACATTTTAGAGAATAAGTGCAAGTCCCCACCCCACCCCCACCCACCAAGCTAAAGCATGTTATAGTGCTGTACTTCAGATTGAAACAATGCGACATTTTAAAAAATCAATTATACACTCTGAAACCATTCGACAATCAAACTGTAACACTCCAAAGATTATTACAACTTTGAACTGAAATGGTGCCACCTATATCATAGATGGCTCTCCCTTCTTTTGTCTTTTTAACTATTTAAAATATAGTATGACATATATAAAAATTAAACTTTTGCATATTCACTCAAGCTACTATTACATACATACTGTCTTATAAATTAGTTTTGGATTAAAAATCAGTTAAAATACTGTGAAATAAGACATTTCAGTGGTGGGGAAGTGGATATGAAAATGATATAGTTCAAAGTGTAAGAAGAAATATAGTTTATTCATGTTAAACAGTTTTTTTCTTACACAGATTTTATTTCCTTCAAATTAAATTAGAAACCCATTTAGTTATGGGAAAAATACTCATGGTGCTTACTGACTAGATTTTTCTGACTGATTGGGATAAAAACAAAAATGCCACATCAGAAACATGTTGACATAATCAAAGGAAACAGCTGTTTACAAAAAAAGAGAATCATTGGAAATCAGTAAACGGCATTCAAATGTAAAGCTATCTTTTGTTTTTTTACAGCTAATGTCATGTTAGCAATGTGGGACTTAAAGAAAGTGAAACTCAAACTTCAGTATATCTGTTAAAGACCAAATAACAGTTATATTAACTCAGGGAAGAATAAATAGCAAATTCACAAGTTAGGGTTTAGTTTCTACTTCTACTGTGAAAGATAATCACTCTTTAGCTTAAAAAGGCTCCCTGATGTCCTCATTATAAATCTAGACACAGGAACAGTTATTTGAGCCTGAGTCCCTATTATGAATTAATTGTAAAGATGTGTTAAATCAAAACATATATTCATTTACTGATAGGTCTTGTCTTAACTGAAGCTGGCAATGTTTAATTAAACAAAGAAATGCTTATTTCTGACAAGTGTAAACAGAATTTCAATTAACAGATTTTCTAATTTTCCTTCTTAACTCATATATTAGCTAGCAATAAATCTTTGCAGTAGCATGAGAACTAGTCAAAAATGACAACATGCATATATCCAAAAATCCTATCCCAAAACCCAAAGCAAAGCAAAAAAAGCGACAACAGTAGAAAGATTGTCTACTTATATCTCATTCATGAATCTTCTATTAATGTGACTACCCTCTCGCATCTCAGAAATAGGCTTTAATAATTACCAAAATTAGGAAAATAATAAACTGATGTGTAGTTTTTAAAGTAACTGCACACCATTAATTACATTGGTGGCTTCAATGCTAAGATTAGCTTCAAATGTCATTAAAATATATCCTGACCAGTTACCATCCAGGAAATAAAAGCTAACACAATGTTAACATAAAACCAACTAAAATTTTTAGTGCTCAACAGAATACATTTGTAGAATAATGAATAATTAACTTTTGTGAGCTGGCCAGGGGAGTTCAGATTGTTGTCTCCATATAAAAAATTTACAATAAGCTTTATTCTTTCTAGTCCCTAAGTCACCCAACAGACAGCAAGTTGGCCACCCATAGATACACGGAGTTAGGCAGTGCCACAGTGGATAACATGCTCCCTCAGTGGCCTGGAAGAAGGCTTCTGTCAGGAAATGATCTAGAAAGATACTGCCCTGGTGTAGATGTGCACACGTGTGAGTATGTGAGAGAGTGTAAGTGCCTGCATTTGTAACATCACTTCTGCTGTAGTCGTCATCAGTAGAAGTGCACAATTCATCCCACGTAAAAAGAAGGCCTTCTTATTTGCACAGCTCCAAGCGGCAGCAATTAGAAGTTCAAAATAATACATCCAATTTTTTGACTCTATTAAAAAACTTTTTTTTTTTTTAAAGAGAAAGAAGCCTTTGAAGTTAAAACTAAAAGGTTTGTGGCTTTCATAATCTTTAATTTCTAAGAAAAAAAGCCAGCTCACTTGGGAACAAATGACAACTGCACTTTTGGTATGCAGCAAGACACAAATACACATACTTGGACACACACAGACAGGTGACAGTTAAAACTCTTCCGAGAGATCGGCCCCACAAATGTACAATTCTCCTTTGCTCTGCTGAATGATCCCAGTGGACTAGGCGGGGCGGGAGCATTAGGAGGAGGCAGCAGACATGTTGGGGGTCCAGCCCATCTGATAGGCTCTCTCCAAGGTCCTCTTGCAGTCCTGCAGGACAGTGCTGAAGGTGATGTGGGGGTACTGCTGCACCAGCTGTTCCACTGTCACTTCATTGACCTGCAAACAAAGAAGAGCCACCATCACACACAGGGACTACCAACACCACCCGCTGCCCATGCTCACTGGTGTGCTGCAGCCAGCTCACCGTGGCATGAGGAGCCCTCTCCTTGCTCCTCCTAGCGATGTGAAGGAGGGTTTTGTGAGAAGGTACGTGTCCCCTTTCATCTGACCTCTCTGATCTTCTGGTAACACACTTGCCCTTTGGGATTTTTAAAACACATAATACCAAGAAATCAAAAGTGTTCTCTAGAAGCATAAATGACTGTGATTTGTCAAGATCTTAACAATGTCAATTGAAAATCTAGTGCTTGGGAGGTAAAGAAGCAGTAAGATAGCTTTCTACTGTGCATTGGACTTCATCATCAACCCGACAGACTTTTGAGGACAAAAATGATGGAATGCAGGAGAGGATACACAGGATTCTAGACAGAGTGTTGGGGAAGATGTTATTTTTCTTCCCTTTAAATGTTAAGGTACGGCAAACTTCAAGTTCCTTTGTGAAATGGGGTTAAATGTGAGGAATCAATAATTAAAACATACATGGCTGGCAGGTCAGAGATGGCCCCAACAGACCTTAACCATCAAAGATACCACCTTGATTCTTGATTAGACAAGGCAATCAGACAGGCCTAATTAAACTAACACCTTTACAACTGCTGTGCTGTGAAGGGATTAATTTGTCAATTATTTTTAAGCTGATTTCAGTTCATATCACAGAAGTAGACAGTTTTCTTCATCCTTTAGATAAATAAATGATTAACCTAAGAACCACAACTTTTAGGTAGTTTTATTTAAAATCTTTATTGAACACTTGAGCATTTTCAGATACATCAATATTTCATTTATACCGAGTAAGCCAGACTGAAAGAAGGTACTTGTGATACACATTTTTGAGCATACCTCTCGATGTCCATTATTGGAAAAGATCAGGACCACTAGGAAAAACCTAAAACAACGTCAAACCCTTGCTGTTTGCTTTGAAAGCCTGCTTAGAGGTATGAAGATCATGAAATTCAGCTATCTACGCTATTCTGAAATAGCATGATGTTTTCTAAGTGATCTAGAATACTATGTTATATATTAATCTTTTTACAGTATTGAGGGTTGGTATTTCAACACTGTGCTGATGGTACTTAATCTTTGCCAGAGCATTTCTCTATTACGACTTGCTTGTGTTTAAGTCAACTTTTATTCCAAATTCAACCAAGCCATATAGCTAATTATTTTTGTGATAAAGCTATGATTCATAACATTTTATTTTCGAAAGTTAAGATAATTTTGAATAAAAATGAAAAACTGATAGACAAACTGGAGTTGAAATAGGAAGTGATGAATTTAATAAAATTTTTAAGAAATAGATTTAAAAAAAAAATGTGTGCTGTAAGTCTAGAGTTCGGAGAGCTTATAATAGAACATTTAAGAATCATGTATCATCTGGCCTTGCCTGTTCCTCTTGCATATTTTTGATACTATCCAGCCACTTGGCCTAGTTTCAGTTTATCAAGTTGTTCAAGTTCCTTCTGGCCTTGGGATCTTTACACATCCCTGGAGTACTTTTTACCGCACTTCTCTATTACGACCCCTTTCTCATGACTACTTCCTACTCATCTTTCAGTTCTTAGCTTCAATGTCATTTTCCCAGCAAATTTTGATCACTGCCTTATCTCTGCTCCCCCCTTAAGTTATATAAGTATTCCAGATCATTCACTCTTTCAACACTGCCTATTTTTCTTCATAGTACTTATTATTGTACTAAGTTAGTTTATGATTGCTTAGTTTAATGTCTATTTCTCTTGCTCCAATGTAAGATCTGTAATAACTATGATAAGCCAGGAATAGTTATTAGTGAGTGAATGCTAAAACAAACACAAATACAAATAGAAAACAGAAAACCAAGAATAAGTCAAAGCCAGACACTAACATCCTAATCAAGATGACCAAGAGTTTCTTGAGGAACTCATATTCAGCTCAAGAATCTCCTCCTTCAGGGAAGCCCTCCCTAAGCAACCAACCCACAAGGGTGGGTTAGGCACCCCTTCCCAGTACACCACGTCAGGCACCCTGAAAGATCTGTCCTCTCATTGAGCACTCTCATACTGCACTACAGTTATCTGTCCACTTGTCCATCTCTTCCACCGGAATAAAGGCCTCTGGAGATTAAAGATTGCCTTTTATCTTTCCATCTATTGGGCTGTTCAAAATAGAAAAGAACCATAGCAACTGTGGTTCATATCATGGACTTTGGAAGCCACCAGAAACAGGTTTGAATCCTGCTTTCATGTTACTTCTTTTTTTTAAATTAATCTACCAGGTTTTATTTTGATATGATATGATTAAGGAATCTAATTTTGTTTTTTTAAAATTATATTTTGAGTTCTGGGATACACGTGCAGAACGTGCAGATTTGTTACATAGGTATACACGTGCCATGGTGGTTTGCTGCACCCATCAACCCGTCATCTACATTAGGTATTTCTCCTAACGCTACCTCTCCCCTAGTCCTCCACTCCTGACAGGCCCTGGTGGGTGATGTTCCCCTCTTTATGTCCATGTGTTCTCAATGTTCAATTCCCACTTACGACCAAGAACACGTGGTGTTTAGTTTTCTGTTCCTGTGTTAGTTTGCTGAGAATGATGGTTTTCATCTTCATCCATGTGCCTGCAAAGGACATGAACTCATCTTTTTTAATGGCTGCATAGTATTCCATGGTATATGTGTATGTGCCACATTTTCTTTAGCCAGCCTATCACTGATGGGCATTTGGGTTGGTTCCAAGTCTTCACTATTGTGAACAGTGCCACAATAAACATACATGTGCATGTGCTTTTATAATCTTTGGGTATATTCCTAGTAATGGGATTGGTAGGTCAAATGGTATTTCTGGTTCTAGATTCTTGAGGAATTACCACACTGTATCATATTACTTCTTTAAGATTTGGTTTTTCTCAACAGTAAAGACAGGATAAGACCGGGTGTGGTGGTTCACACTTGTAATCTTAGCACTTTGTCAGGCCCAGGCAGATGGATCATCTGAGGCAGTTCTGGGCCAGCCTGACCAACATGGAGAAAGCCTGTCTCTACTAAAAATACAAAAAATTAGCTGGACATGTTGGCACATGCCTGTAATCCCAGCTACTTGGGAGGCTGAGGCAGGAGAATCGCTTGAACCTGGGAGGCAGAGGTTGCGGTGAGCCGAGATAGTGCCACTGCACTCCAGCTTGGGCAATAAGAGCGAAACTCTGTCTCAAAAAAAAAAAAAAATGCCTAGCACTGTGACTGACATAAAAGGCCCATCATACAGCTCTCACTATTGCAGGAGGTACTCAATAAATGGTCACTGAATGCAAGAGTTAATTCATGATCTCTTACAGCCACCAGTTCTCTACAGTGTTAATTAATATTGTTCTGAGCAAGAAATAACTTTTAGAATGTTCTCCATGTACAGGAAGAATCTATTTTATCTTAATGCTTTCTTGAGCAGATTCCAGAACTCTCCTTAATAACATAGTCCAGGTTTTAAGTAACTACTTTGTCATGGTTTGGATATTTGTCCCCTTCCTATCTCATGTTGAGAAGTGATCTCCAGTGTTGGAGGTAAGTCCTGGAGGGAGGTGTTTGGTTCATGGGGTCTGCCCATCATGGCTTAGTACTGTCTTTGAGATAGTGGAGGAGTTCTCTCGGGATCTGCTTGTTTACAAGTGTGTATAGCACCTTCCCAAACTCTCTCTCTTGCTCTCAGCCTCGTCATGTGACATGCTTGCTCCCCTTCACCTTCCACCATGACTGTAAGTTTCCTGAGGCCCTCACCAGAAGCAGATGCCAGCATCGCACTTCCTGTATACCTGTAGAACCATGAATCAATTAGACCCCTTTTCTTTATAAATTACCCAGTTTCAGCTATTCCTTTATAGTAATGCAAACAGAGTAATACACCACTGTCAGGAAGTTGTTCCTTTTGTTTAACAGATGTTCCCCATGCTGCAGTTAGAAGATTTGATTCCCTCCTGCCATAAGCAAACAAAAGGATGTAGGTTTTACTGAAGTCATTTGGTCAGAGAGGAACCTTGGAAAATCTGCATCACATTGCAAAGAAATAAATGAAGTCCAAGCCACTTGGCATTCAAGGAAGTACTAACTAAAAATAAATGAGAAAAGAATGGATCAGAGAAAACATTCAAACCCACCGTTAATGATATGAACTGTTTTCTATGGTACATCTTTTCCAATTTATACACAGGCTTGTACAGAGTTTTGTACCTATGGTTGACAGGCAATTTGTTTTGGAGGGTCAATGAATTTAAAAATATCTCTATGTGATAACTGTTTTCCAGGAAAAGGCATATAATTCACCTTAAGCAAACTTGATACATGAAGATATTGATTTATGAAGTATATAAATTAGAGGATAATTGTTCACTTTAGTAAATAATTTCATGGTAGGGTTAATTTATTTTGCCAGCTCCCCCAGTGTATTTTATATATTCTTTGATTTCCCCAAATGCAATTTACCTATTTCAGCTGCAGAAAGTAAAACACATCTGTGGTTGAGAATATAGATGATGATGTGTTTGTTCTCTGGCTTTCATAGGTTTTGGGTAAGAATAGACAATAATTTGACTTCATGTAACTATATGAAAAATGGCACCAGTAATCCTCTGTGGATATAATGTATCTTCTAAGCAATCCTTTCGCTAGCTGTACTCTGTAAATTCTAGGAAACAAAGCAGTGGGGAAAACGCAAATATTTCATTTTAGAGCTCTGTTGGGTAGATATTATTCAGGGGAAATACAAGGGCTCCTACTTAGGGAAGGTTCTATCTTTGACTTATAATCTGTCCTGGCAATATAGTGTGACAAATTTTATACTGAAGTTCTGTTCATTTACTCCTCAAAAGTACAAATTATGCTCCCCTTTTCTTTGTATGGACTCCATAGTGCTTTGGTGCCATAGAGGATTCAGCGTAAAACACCAGCAGAGCCCAAATCCTCTTACATC